GATTTTTAAGTGTTATTAAAGTCACCTAATGAAACTGACGAAGAAACAAATGACAAAATGAAATGAAGTTCACATTCATCGATTTATTCCAAATGATCGTTAGACTAAGTAAGGCACAGACTGACCATTATAAGGGTAAAATGATACCCGGGGTCAAACAGCAAAGTTACCACAGCATCACAACCAAGTCAGTAACGGGTAAATCTTCCTCTGTTTGCCAAACAAGCATTGATCCGACGTGGCATACTCCTAATGAGACGTCTAAGGTCATTTTGGTCCAGATTGTCCCATTCCTGTTGCAACGCAGCAGCAAGTTCTTGGACATTGGCAGGACATTGTTGACGTTGACGTAACCTCTGTCCAAGCATGTCCCAGACATGCTCGATGGGGGAGAGGTCGGGACTCAGTGCTGGCCAAGGTAATGTGGTGATGTTCTGTTGTTGGAGGTAACCTGTAACGATCCTGGCCCTGTGACATCTTGCGTTGTCACCATGGAAGATGAAACGGCGGCCATGACGTCGTGCGAACGGTACAACATGGACTGCCAAGATGTTGTCCCGGTAGTACTGGCCTGTAACACGCCCTGCAACAACATGTAAAGCCGTTCTTCCAGCAACAGTGATGCCTCCCCACACCATAACAGAACCACCCCCAAATCGATCATGTCTGATGACGTTAACGTCTTGGAAGCGCTCGTTTCGACGAAGCCACACCCTCCTACGTCTTTCCAAAAAATCAACAGTGAACCTTGACTCATCTGAAAACATCACATTGCTCCAGCGTCGATTATCCCAGTGTTGACGATCCCTACACCAACGACGTCTTGCCTGAATGTGATGATCTCTCAAACAAGGGATCACGCGAGGACGTCGGGCACGAAGGTGACCCCTATGCAGTCGATTCCGAATCGTCTGGCCACTCACTCTCACACCAGTGTCTGTTTGAAGACGAGCGCTGATCTGATTTGCTGTGATGACACGATTTCTCAAGGCCAAGGTACGGATAAATCGATCCTGGGCTTGAGTTGTCGCCCTTGGTCGACCTGAGCGTGGTCTGTCCTGTACAGATTGTGTATCACGGTATCTGGACCATAGCCTGCTTATGACAGACTGAGGAACATTCATCGTCCGCGCCACAACCGCCTGTGTTGTGCCGATCTGTAGCATGCCAAGGGCACGTAACCTTTCATTTTGGGTAAGCCGACGCATATCAAAATTTGTTTTCTGGTCACTAAAACAATTAAACTGATGTTTCCACCCTGGAATTCAATGCCACAATGACTGTAACATTCAAAGTCAGAGTCGTGCAAATCTTGGGTTGGACCCCCATGATGATCCCAAGCATCACCTGCATTCCATGCGGTAGCTATTGGTGCGTTTGGGCGTCACATGTAACTGGAAATGTTTCTTCTGTTAGGTTCTATAGTGACTTTTTTCGTAGTCATTTGCATATTTTAGTATTATGCCCCCAAAATCAAATATCCCCTACTTTTTTTGAATAGTATATTTTACGCTGACATTTTATTGCTTTAAATCTTCCTGGTGCAAAAACGGAAAATTTGACCTTTTGGCCTCTGGGGTCACAAAGAACAAAGTTAAATTTAGCAAGTTAACATTTTTATTGAACGGTTTTCATGATACAAGAATGGCTGCGAATTCACTTTCAGTGCAAATGAACCCATTGACCTTTGTCCCCGAATATCTCGAAAACGTCCCAACGGCGAACTGATTACCACTCGGCATCGTATTCTACGCAAACTTTTACTCTAGGAAAGTTGGGTCTGGTTTTGTACCCCTCCCCCCCCCCCCGCCCCACACATTTAAAGAGGCTTTATCAACATCAGCAAGCGTGTAAATCATTTTTATATACTATCATATATAATATATACACCTGGACCCGCCTAATTCTCAAAACAATCAAGAATTATCACGATTAGAATAAAGCATTTTTCATTAGAATCACAGAAATGCCCATATCACGAGACAGAAATGTTGCCGTCCGGACATTATTTCCGTCATATAGGACACTGGATGGCGTATACCCAACTTTTCTAGCCAGGCTACTCTACAACTCGCAGTGAATCACAGAAATGCCCATATCTCAGGGGTGGGTAGGCAAAAAAAAAGATAATTTTTACACCTGCGTGTAACTGTCGATACACGGTAAATGGTCCACCCGTCACGACCCGTGTACTCGTTTGCAAGCAAGCATAGGAACGCCGCTAGTGGGAACTTGATCACGAGACAGAAATATTGCCGTCCGGACATTATTTCCGTCATATAGGACACTGGATGACGTATACCCAACTTTTCTAGCCAGGCTACTCTACAACTCGCAGTGAATCACAGAAATGCCCATATCTCAGGGGTGGGTAGGCAAAAAAAAAAAAGATAATTTTTACACCTGCGTGTAACTGTCGATACACGGTAAATCGCCAGGCTAAATTCTGTTATTGTTCAATTTACGTTTGTCTTGAATAATTTGGTGTTTGATGGGCGGGCACAATCAATCCATGGTCCACCCGTCACGACCCGTGTACTCGTTTGCAAGCAAGCATAGGAACGCCGCTAGTGGGAACTTGATCACGAGACAGAAATGTTGCCGTCCGGACATTATTTCCGTCATATAGGACACTGGATGACGTATACCCAACTTTTCTAGCCAGGCTGATGCAGAAACGTAGGACGGTAACACTAACAGTCTTTTCCAATGAGCTCATATAAAGACTTGGGATGAAATACTAGTAAAATGAATGCATGCATGGTAAGTTTCTTGTGGTAGCTCCCATCTATTGAATCCTGCTAGATCATTACTACCACACGAGTCCCGACTAAACAGCAATGACCAGGTTAGTTTTATCTGTTTTGTTTTATGTGTAGTGCGGTTCTAGCCCTTCCTACTGCAGAATGTTCTCGTTGTTAGGCTTAATTGCTCTCTACACTTTTTTTTTTTTAGCATATTCTAAGCTTGTTTAGAATATCGCCCTTATTATTGTTAAAAGTTTTTGAGTTCTCACATATGACATCAACTGGCATACTATCCCCATTCAGAAGACGATTACCGTTAAGACTGGTTGCATTATGTCTTTCTTCTTAATCATTATTTTTCTTCATTGAGTGAAGCCTGTATTAATTGCAGCGCAGTGGACACTTGAATTTTGTTGTTTATATCTTGCAATGTCTATGCAGTTTGTCTTATTGTTTTTGTTTTGCATGTGGTGCAGGTCTCCGGCACTTATTGATACACCAAGCCAACAAATTTATATTAAAAAAATATAGTATCTTTCAAAGGCATTAAGTGAAAGCGATATATACTATTCAAAAAAAGTAGGGGATATTTGATTTTGGGGGCATAATACTAAAATATGCAAATGACTACGAAAAAAGTCACTATAGAACCTAACAGAAGAAACATTTCCAGTTACATGTGACGCCCAAACGCACCAATAGCTACCGCATGGAATGCAGGTGATGCTTGGGATCATCATGGGGGTCCAACCCAAGATTTGCACGACTCTGACTTTGAATGTTACAGTCATTGTGGCATTGAATTCCAGGGTGGAAACATCAGTTTAATTGTTTTAGTGACCAGAAAACAAATTTTGATATGCGTCGGCTTACCCAAAATGAAAGGTTACGTGCCCTTGGCATGCTACAGATCGGCACAACACAGGCAGTTGTGGCACGGACGATGAATGTTTCTCAGTCTGTCATAAGCAGGCTATGGTCCAGATACCGTGATACACAATCTGTACAGGACAGACCACGCTCAGGTCGACCAAGGGCGACAACTCAAGCCCAGGATCGATTTATCCGTACCTTGGCCTTGAGAAATCGTGTCATCACAGCAAATCAGATCAGCGCTCGTCTTCAAACAGACACTGGTGTGAGAGTGAGTGGCCAGACGATTCGGAATCGACTGCATAGGGGTCACCTTCGCGCCCGACGTCCTCGCGTGATACCTTGTTTGAGAGATCATCACATTCAGGCAAGACGTCGTTGGTGTAGGGATCGTCAACACTGGGATAATCGACGCTGGAGCAATGTGATGTTTTCAGATGAGTCAAGGTTCACTGTTGATTTTTTGGACAGACGTAGGAGGGTGTGGCGTCGTCGAAACGAGCGCTTCCAAGACGTTAACGTCATCAGACATGATCGATTTGGGGGTGGTTCTGTTATGGTGTGGGGAGGCATCACTGTTGCTGGAAGAACGGCTTTACATGTTGTTGCAGGGCGTGTTACGGGCCAGTACTACCGGGACAACATCTTGGCAGTCCATGTTGTGCCGTTCGCACGACGTCATGGCCGCCGTTTCATCTTCCAGGATGACAACGCAAGATGTCACAGGGCCAGGATCGTTACAGGTTACCTCCAACAACAGAACATCATCACATTACCTTGGCCAGCACTGAGTCCCGACCTCTCCCCCATCGAGCATGTCTGGGACATGCTTGGACAGAGGTTACGTCAACGTCAACAACGTCAACAACGTCCTGCCAATGTCCAAGAACTTGCTGCTGCGTTGCAACAGGAATGGGACAATCTGGACCAAAATGACCTTAGACGTCTCATTAGGAGTATGCCACGTCGGATCAATGCTTGTTTGGCAAACAGAGGAGGATTTACCCGTTACTGACTTGGTTGTGATGCTGTGGTAACTTTGCTGTTTGACCCCGGGTATCATTTTACCCTTATAATGGTCAGTCTGTGCCTTACTTAGTATAACGATCATTTGGAATAAATCGATGAATGTGAACTTCATTTCATTTTGTCATTTGTTTCTTCGTCAGTTTCATTAGGTGACTTTAATAACACTTAAAAATCAAATATCCCCTACTTTTTTTGAATAGTATATAATGAACAGACAGTTTTATGGATAAAATTCACTAGTCAAGCAATGATAACGTTGAGTGTCCTCATTGAAACGTTGCAGTTAATAAACCTAGTGAATGTTATCCATAAAACTGTCTGTTTATTAAAAAAAAATATAAATAACTACAATCCAACCACAATAATTTTATTATGATAACAATCCCATCGGACAATATATTATATAAACACTGATGTTATGGTCTATAAAGCAGTAATTTACAAAAAATTTCTACAGTAGGGAATAACTAGTTGTAATAATTGATACAGGATTTCCTATTTTGTAAGCTTTATATTACGAAAGAGTAGTAATTTACAAAAATTGAACACATAGCACTATCTGACAATGTCTTAATACAACTTGGTTAAGGTCTTTAATTGAAAATGTAAGTTAACCAGGGTGGATAACTCTATTAAAGCTAAGCATACACTGAAAATTATGACATATTGCTATTTACACAATATTATATAAATTAACCGTTTGCGAGTCAATTACCCTTAACATAACAAAAAAAACACAGACTGAAGAGGAAAAAAATAACTCTTTATAATTTTTACACAAAAAGACAATGCAAAGATAAGAACGGGAGAACAATAACCATGTCTACATCATATATCATTAGATTTATAAACTTTTAAAAACACAAAAATACTGATTCTAAATCTAACTAGAGTTTATACCGGTATCACAAGTAATAAGACATCTGGCTATACAGTTCGTGCATATGAAGCCTGTCTGGTGTTAATATTGTGGTTAAAGCTAAGATGAAGAGTAAAGGTGCAAAAAATTTCTTAAGTTTTAACACAGAAGCAACCAATTTAAGAAATGTTCTTTCACTTTTACTTTCTACCAAAAGCACCCTTGATGATAGTTGACTCTTGCCTGTTTTATATTTAATCTCAATAAATTAATTATATTTATACCAATGAATTATCAAATACCACTGTGTGAATTAAAGAAATTCTAGTTATATTTTGCACTATAAGACAATAACAATGGGTAAGGTTTGTATTAATGCATTGTATAATCCTTTTTAATGAATTAATCACAAAATGTTCGTAACAGTGGCCTTTGGGCCTAATAACTATGGTTTGCAATAAAGAGGGATTCGGCAGCAGCAGCCCCTTCACCTGCTGGAGTGTATTTTCCAAGGGAAGCATCTCCGTTTGCCTGAAAGAAAATAAAATACATGTTTATTTAATTTCCCCAAGAATTAAGAATTAAATATATCTTCAAGATTGCTTAACGAGTTCAAAATTGTACTATATTCAGTTTGATGAAGACACCTTCCAAAATGAAAAATAAAAAGGGGAATAACTCTGGCAATTTAATAAAGATTACACGCTTTAAGCAGTGGAAACATTAGTCGAACAGAATCATTTGGTCAAATCAATCGGCGGCAAAAATATTTGGTCGAATGGCTGGACACATTAGAAGAATGCTTCGCACGATTCACCAATAGATTGCATCACCTGTCACATGATTAAAGATGGCGACGTCTATGTCTTCAAATAATCACACGACTTCTCAATACAAGTGGATGATGAGTGGTGATTGGGTAATGAATTCTACAATCGGCCAAATGATTTGACGAAGCGGACACACTAGGCGAATATAATTCGGCCGAATGAAAGTACATCAAACATGTTTGTTTCAGGCAAATCATTCAGCCAAATTTTGACCCCGATTGATTCGGCCGAATCATTCGGCAAGTGTGTCCACCGCTTGCTTTATTCATTTTTCAACTTCATTGAATGACAAGACAACCTTGAACCGAAGGGGTAAATTTATTTTTGCTATCAAATGAAATATCCTTAATCTATGAAAATCAGTAAGTAATAATTTACCTTGGCTCGTCTCAAGAGTTCTCCTTGAGCAGCGCCAACATTTTCATCTTTTCCCTGCCACGCTTTCAATACACTGGCTTGTAGAGCACGACCAAAAGAGAAAGAAAGTGCCCATGGTTTACGTCCAGGGTAACTATTAATAGCGTTCAAGTTAATGGAAGCATCTACTTCAGATTGTCCACCAGACAAGAATGTAATACCTGTAACAAAAGATCGAAGTGGTATTATTAGAATAAAAAGGGGAATAATGTCTTACTTCCCTGCACCAACGAGTCTAATGAGGTTGAGCATCTGCCAATCTGTGTACTATGACCTTAGTTTGTCCTAGACAGGAACACTATGATCTAATCTTAACTATTTTCAATAGTCGGTGGATCTTTAACGTGCTGCAAATTGTACACACAAGACCTCAGTTTTTTGTCCCATCAGAACTGGACGCATTTCACTAGCAAGGCCATTGGTACAGCACTTATAGCTCTTGGCAAGTCATAAACAAACAAGGGGTCAATGGCATTAAAAAATTTAAAAAATGTATAGAATCCGTTTCATAGCTCCTAGCACCTCATAAGTCTCCATTGCTAGAATATAATTATGTAAATTGAAAGTAGTTTCTAGAATTTGTCAAGTGAGAATTAGCAAATCATTTTTGGAGACAAGTTGACACCCTGTGTAACCCAGTCTATTCCGGTAGTGGTTTGATTGTGAAAATAAACACAAACTGGCCTTTTAATCAAACCTGAATATGTGGCCCCTGTCAAAGACAATGTCAGACACAAATTCAGACTTTGTCAGGCACAATCTCTCCGAAACTTGTCAATTTGTCTGCCACAAATTGTTCTTTTTATTGATATTATTAATACATTTACAGCACTAAGTTGAAAATGGCAGGAACTAGTTCATTAGTGTCTGACATTTTGTCAGCTATAACTGAAACCGTTATATCCAGACTTCTATTAAATTGTGATGTTTTACCTGGAACGGCAGCAGGAACTGTTCGTGATAAAGCTAACACGGTGGCTTTAGCATTTTGTTCTGCTGTATACTTGGTTGTACAGGACTGACCGGCGGTTACCATATTAGGTTTCAACAGGGTACCCTCCAAGAAAATATGGTGATCCATTAAAGCCTTGTATTGGAAAGCCAAGACCTGAAAGAAACCAAGAAATGAGCATTAAAGATGCACTATGTAACAGCTAAATCCTCCTACTGCAGGTTTTTTTTCAGGCTTCAAATGCTATATAAATTATTATTTAGACATTAATAAGCATCCCAAGCCTATAATCAACTGTCTGGACCATTGGATGATTTGTTATTAGCTTTCAGAAAATCTAATAATATATAAATAATTAATAGAAAATTTTCAAAGTTAAAAAAAAACCCAAGAAATTATGTGTTGAATATAAAATAAAGAAATTGTGAATCACCTGTTCTGTGACGTACTGAGCTTCTTCTAACGAATGAGAGCCATCGGGTAATACTTCAGGTTCCACAATTGGCACTAAACCATTCTAAAATATAAAATACATTTTAATATAGGTTTATATCTCCAAGGATTATATTCAAATCATTTTCAATTTCTTTATGTGGTTAGTTAATTGACGTTAAACACAGTTCTATGAAAATAATTACTGTAATTTTAATCGGAGCTACATTTCTACAATGATTCTCTTGTTGTTTTCAATTACAATATTGATACAGTCCGAAAGAACGAAATACTTGAGGATTTATTTCATACAGTCAATCAAAATTTTGCTCCAAATCCTTCTCTGAACCTTGTATAAAAAATCTATTAATAGAAGCCATGTTTGTGTCACGTAACTTGGCCGATGCGGTACCTAGCAACGGGCGTGAGGCCAGAACAGAATTCATTGCACATACAAGATGTTGTCTTTAATCGCTGTCTATTTATCATAAATATCGAAGCCCAATTAATTCTTGGATTATCCACTGCCCACATCTTTTTCTGTGGTTTTTATCTCAGAAACTGTTGTAAATTTAAGCTCACCATTAAGTTTATCAACATATATATCAAGCGCTCACTAACGCTGCGAGATCAGACAATCTTTGTGTGGAAACTTTGACGTCACTCGAGCAGATATGCCTAATCGTCAGGTCGCCAGTTAGGGGAACCCTTACATTTTTGTCCTGTATGTGCTCCATGGGTGTTTTTCAGGGAGTCCAGTATTTTTCTAGTAAGACTGGATGTTTCTAATTTCCATATATACCAAAATTGCCATACTTTTCTTGGAAATAACCACCCGATAAATACTTTTGCGGGAAAGTATCTTTAATAATTATTTTTATTGTGGACTAATTATTCTCCTAACTAAAAATTTCACTTGAAACCCTAAATAGGATGTACATGCAAGTAAGGTGATACTTAAAGACCACCTAAGATCAAAAATCTAAATTGCATGTATGTATAGCCCATGGTCACTATATCAACTTTACGGCAAGTTCACACCAATCTGATTAAAATTAAGTCCGCTGTTAACGTTTAAGTATCCGACAAGCCAAAACGCTTTTCCATTTTTCAATTACGACCTTAATCCGGTTGATTCGCTGGTGACGTCACAGTCACTACACATAGGATATACATTATCTATACAATATCTCACTGTCTGTACAATATTGCACTATCAATACACACGGCAACTGGACAAGCGTCTATTGACGGTCCAATTACCACATGACTGGCCTGATCATAATCACTGAATTATCGATTAGATTAGACATTTGTGATTGGAATATTTTAGAGTCAATTTAAAATGCCTTATCATGCCGTAGATCATTTTAAGCTGCCTTTGTTTAAATAGGCCACGTGTCAAATGAAGATGACTCAAGAAATTAGCGCATTTACCGGTAATTTGGATAACCCCGTAATACTTGATATCCCAAAATTAAGTACAGAAATACAAATGGTGCCAGTCATTTGTCGATATATTCATTATTAGCTATATATAAAAATAAAAACCATTTCTATACATAAAGAACAACTACAGTGAATATGGAATTTTCCGATGACTATGCATAACATGTACAATAGATCGCACTCATTTCTCTGCCAATCAACGCTTGGTATCTTATTACCATGTACCGTTCCATGTACTACGGGTGTAGTAAATGAAATTAAACTTCGCCACGAAAATTGCATGGGATCATTCGTGGAGTTCCTGGTGCCGTTTGGTGAGTGATTAAACTGTCAATGCAATTGTAAAATACTTTTATTATAAAGAAGATAAACGATGTTAGACATTATAACCTAATGGTATCAAAAACGTTTATCCATCCATCAATTAAATGTTGTTTAATCACCAATCAACAAATAATACAAGGCTACTTGATTACAAAAACACCGGTGAGCAATAATTATTGGATATATAGTAATTTTAAACAACTTATTAGTAAAACTTAATTATTTTATACAATTAATGTGTGTGTGTGTGTGTGTGTATGATTCTACCATTAGTTCGTTCGTGAGGTATTACGCACACGTTCCACTTAGTGACGTCTTTGATCTGGTCGGCGTAAAAAAAGATAATTACCTAATCAACATTCTTAATCCCACTAACACTCACTGCTAACACCAACGTGTAAATTAATTTATGGCCCATGCCTGTATAACTCGTTGTTGTTGTTAGTTAGTTGTAATTTACGTCCACTTCCACCGAGGTGATATCGCAGACATCGTATAACTTTTATAGTCGGATTGATTAATTAATGACAGATATTAACGACACTACACTTTATGTGGAAAAGCGAAGTGCTCGCAGTAAAAACCACATAGCTGGACCAGTATATTATTTACATATTAAAAGTGTTCGTCCAATAAGTTCCATATTGTAAAAAATTAATTAAGAGTTCAAGACTTCAAAGTTTAAAAGTTGTAGGCACTCTAAATTGGATCTTAAATCAAAATGAATTACAAAACAAATTATTCCGTAGTCAATTGTTTTATTTAATTAGGGGGATTAAGGAATCCTTCAGGCGTTAAAGAACACACACGCCGGCTGTATATAGGTAATTAAGGAATAAACATTCCGAATATGCATTCGGTCACTGTGACATCACTGGCGTCTGAGGGGATTAAGAGTGTTTTCGATAATTGGCAAAGTCGTTTTCACGGAAGGTCAATTTTTACGACTTTGAGTGAAGATAGCTGAATTAATTTCAACCAGATTGGCGTGAACTTGGCGTAAAGTGGATATAGTAATTACTGGCTACACCCATTAAAACGTTTTTCCACCCATCTTATGTGCACTTTAATAAAATTCAGTTGATGAAGTAAACAGGATAAGCCATTATTCAAGCTAAACAATGAACATATGATAAAAATAGGATGTACGACCAGTACAGAATATAATTAAATCCTTCAGTCACACCAAGGCTTTCTTATATGCTTATCTAATAAAATATTTCTGTGCAATGTTAGCTGCCAAAACTATTCAGCAAGGATTAATTTTTTTAAAAAAGTCATTGTCAGAATTTATGACCTTGAGATATTACACCAGTGAAATCATAATAACACGTATATCTCTACACAAACACATTGTGAAATACTAGAGTGATGTCAAAAACATGTTTATCTCTATACACACTCTGAGTGATGTTAATAACATGTTTATCTTATTATGAAATACTAGAGTTATATCTCTATACACTCAGTGTTAAACCTGACAAACTTATTGTGACATACTAGGGTTATTTCTCTATACTCAGTGTTAAACCAGACAAACTAATTGTGAAATACTAGGGTTATCTCTCTCTCTCAACACTCAGTGTTAAACCAGACAAACTTATTGTGAAATACTGGAGTCATGCCAATAACTTGATCTCTCTAGACACTCAGTGTTTAACTGGACAAACTTATTGTGATGTACTTGAATGATGTCAATAACATGTGACAAACTTATTGCGAAGCATAAGTTCCATGTGGGACGATATGCCGGTCCAGACCGAGGGCTACGGAAAATGACTGAAACTAGATCTGACCCATCGATCATTTTCCACGCCGAAAAAATAACATATTAGTTCATTAGTTATTAGGATTATGTCACAATTCTGGGACCCGTAATGTGGCAAGAAATATGCCGTGGATAATTATCAAGGTCAGAGTGTTTTCTATAGAACATGTATCTAAATAGCCAATAGGTTTTTTTTTATTTGAACAATAACACATTTAAATGCATTATTAGCATACAAAAAAATAATTTCTTTTAACTTCAAATTTTCAGATATATCGATATTGCCGAAATGGTTGCCGATATCGATATTTAAAATCGGTATCGATTGCCAACCCTAATTATAAGACCTACTAGTATTTTATTTCTTAGTCCAATATTTAAGGTTTCAGTCACCGACACAAAGTGGTATAGACATGTGAATCGGGCCCATAACTAGGGCTGCAAAAAGTCCACCCCCTACCCCCGTGAAAAAATTTTCGACCATAAAAAAATAGATATACATTGTCCGTCAATATTACAGCACCCCTGAGAACACTTCCCCCCCCCCCCCCCTTGTTGCTCTGAGCTAGTTACGGTCCTGATGTGATCTCACGATACCCTACCATAAATAAAAAAATCAATTTGCAAAGGTTTCGTGCGCTTTCAAAACTGATTGACTGAAAATTTTTAAGTGGAAGCCCTGTTGTGAAATACTCGAGTTATTTCAATAACATGCCATTTGAGTCATTTTAATGGGTAATATTTTATATGTGCCAATAATATCAGTAATTAGAGCTGTATCAGCATCAGATCACAAAATTTGTTTTCTCAGTATTACAAAAATATGAAGAAAATTTTACAAACCTGTTGGCAAATACTGGCATAACGAGCTAAAACATTGGCATTCTCAAGCATTCCTTGGAAAGATGGGGTATCTTTACCGATTTTTAAAACACATCGCCATTTGGCAAACTGAGCACCATCTTTCTTGTATTGCGCACATCTTTCAGACAAACCATCCAAACCTATGTCAATAAAACATTGGATAAGAATTTAACAAATGAAATTGTAAACATTTCATTTTAATCTCTGAAAGATTTTTCTCAACACCACAATTTGAACCCAGGACATTCTGGCCTTGAGTCAAGTGTCCTAACTACACACCACCAATGTGGTTAGAGATAACTAGCAAATGGTGTACTAGTGTTCAACTTAAAAACAGTCACCACCCAATCGTAACTTTAGAAAATGGGGTCGCTTTTTTTAAAATTCAATACGAATTAACCTTTAAGCATTTAGTACATGTAAATATTGATTACCCCAGTAGTTTGAAGAAACTTATATAAAAGTGATATAGCTCACACAGCCTTGAAACTACTGTTCTTTAGACAGTCTGAGGTACTTGAAAGCTTTCCGTGTTGTATGACCCTAAACTCGCTCATGAGGACTCCATAGCTATTCATGCAACTCAGTTTGAGATGGTCAAAATAGTTCAAGTCAAGTGCTAATGGGTCAAATGTCAATGGAGAAACACCAGAGCTACTCATGTGATACAAGCAGATTGAGACAGTAAGGAAACCTAGTCACAAGAGGTTTCAGACTTAAGTGCTAACAGGTCAAAGTTGGTCCCCTTCAGGTCAAATTAATTTCTACTTTTCTTGCATTTTCCATAGCATTCAAAATTACCAGATATAAGCATGAAAATCTCAACAAATTGAGCATACCTTGTGTGGTGCTTTCGCTAAAAGTGCCAGCAAGGGGGACAACTCCCTTATCAACTTTAATACCAGGAATGATGCCCTTGCTCTGCAGAACTTTAACAAATGGAGTTCCATCTTTGGTTTTTTGGTACAGAGTTTCTTCGAACAGAATGACACCAGAGATATTTTCAGCTACTGCATTATCTGCTGTGAATAAAAGTTCTCGGTATCGGCGACGATTCTCTTCAGTATTTTCTACTCCAATGCCAGCAAATCGCTTTCCCATGGTACCTATAAAATCATATAACATGCACGTGAAGTATCATACATGTCAGCCCTTGTCGCCTGAGTGGACACAGGACATCCCAAGGTAAATTCACCAAGACATTATCACTCACCATTTTTAATCTTCAATCTTGCAGACGCCACATTAAACAATATGATAGTATTGATGACCTCAGTAAAAAATTATTTAAGGCTGGCACTTAGAATTTAATAAATCGATTCAAGATAATGTCATTAATAATGGGTTATTATATCAATCTTTGTTAGAATAGAAACTGCAGGATGATCTCCTTTAAGTTTGACAAGTGACTTTAGTTTGGCACTTTTATCGTTTAGTTTTGAAATCTTGCGGGTGTTCAAATCCATTCAAACCTTGGCCATCCGTTGGTCCAGAGAGTTGATTATAGGCTTTTGCTGTGAATAAATGTCTAAATAACCGTTTAAATAACATTTGAAACCAAATTAAAGACCCGGAATACACAGATTTAACTCTTACGCAATGCATATTTAAGGGACATGTAAGTGACGCTTTAGTTTGTCAATATACTCCTTTAATTCTGAGAAAGAGTTTTAACATAAATAACTTGTATAGCTGACATAATAACGCATCGTTTATCCTACCAGGTTCCTTATCAATACAGTATACATCTCATTTTATATTTTTTTAATTTGTTTCACATGGCTTGTTTAAAAAGACATCAATTTATGGTCCATAAACTCAGTTAATCAGTAGATAGTATGTATACAAAAGATGGTATTGAATTGTGACTAGATAAGCAGAGAAGAATAAATAAATAAATTTATACACGTTTTGACCTATTTCACTTACAATTAAATGTGATTACCGGTTATCTATCTAAACCGTGTATATGGGTTGTGTCAAGAATCAAGATTATGGGTAAACATTAAGTTTTATATTCAATTTAACAGAAAGTAGTTTGAGCTAAAGTTTACAAAACTATTGAAATTATCAGCCACTGCCTTTCTTTTAATAATTGCAGAGTGCATACATGTAACAACTCATTTTATGGAGAAAAGTAATGAATATCCTAAACGGGACAGTACACAAAAATCCATGAGGATATTTACTAAAATCAATCAACAGTAAGTTGACTATCCATAAGGTAAATTTCTTATCTTCCAGTGTCATTTACCTGTGGATTCATCAGCAGCCAAGATACCTTTACCAGGAGCCACAATGGCATTGGCAATTTTTCTAAGTTCATCCTCTTGTTCAGCAGTGAGGTATTGGGCGTGATCTGGCATGTTTCTGCAAAATAAAAATGTATTAAATTAACAATTTGAAATATTCTACTCTTTAACTTCACATAAAAGTTGTAATCTTTAATTTCATAAAATAAATATTGTAATCTTTAATTTCATACAAGCCAACAGTGAAGCTGATGCCACCGCCAAAGTCCCAAAATAAATAGATGACAAATATTAAAGTATCGAGCAATCAAACTGTTTATCTATACGTAGTGTGAACAGAAAATGTTCAAGATCAAACTCAGCCAAGGTTTTGACCTGGTAGTCAAATTATACACTAAGTTTTATCATTCTCCATCAGTTAGAATCAAAGTTATCTTATCCCAAATCATCGACAAATGAAATTGCTTAGCTCTGCTTAGCTTTAACAGGAAATGTTAATCATTGAACTCAGTCAAGACTCAAGACATTCACCTGATGAACATCAAGTTTAAACATTCTACCTCAATTAAAAGCAGAGTTGTTGTTTTCCAAAACCTTGACCTATCAAATTGCTTACCGCTACTTGGCCTAAGCAGAAAATTCTCATCATTGAACTCAGTCAAGGTATTGATATAATTAATCTATACTTTGAGTTTCATCGCTCTCACCCAATAAGAACCAAATTCTCAACCAATCAAATTGCTTATCTCTGCTTAGTGGAAAATGCGCATGATCAAACTCTTTCAAGGCATTCACCTAATAGACACCTACACCAATTTTGAACATTCTACCTCAATTAGGTGTTATTATGTCCCGAAAAGTGTGACGGACAGACAAACAGATCCATGTTAATAGTACCCCGCTTTCTTTGAAAGGCAAGGGGGGTAAAAATAAAAGTTGTAATCTCAAAAATTTCATATAAAAGTTTCTGATCTCTAATCTCATATCAAAGTTCTAATTTATAGTTTCATATCTTTTTTAATTTCTTATAATAATTCTATTTAAGTTTTAATTTATAAATTTACATGAACGATTTAAATGTCAATTTGTTTCTCACTTCCATGCTTGCACATGTATGTAGTTCCTTTAATTCTAAAAGTGTAGGATTCAACATAGTCATACACGCACATGTAATGTTCAAGAACCAATCAAAACTTGGACAAAGAACCAAAGAATGGCCAATGATTTTGTACCCAGTTGTTGTATGAATTCACTAATAAATGTTGGTCATGGCCTGGTAATTTTTTTCAAGATGATATCAAATCAATTATAAAAAGATTTAGGGAGTGTACTATGTCATTCATATCTGCTTTGTTATTTTATAAAAAATAAAGACATGAAATCTGAATGCATCCCGTACCTATAAGTATTATTCAAATTGATCAATTTACGGCAGTGTTTATGGGAGTGTCGTGATATCAATCCACCATCTTTCTGTGTCTACGACAACTTAGATACAATAATTCTGCTCTCTTTTTCATACAACAGCCCATTTTTCTTAATGGTCTTTATGTCAAGATATGTAGTAATTTATCATATATTCAGCTTTTACAATTTTAATTCATTCATTATAGTAAGTAAATAGACTTAAAATAAAAAAGTAAAAGCCATATATATCAGACCAGAAGTAACATTATAGAAGATCAAAGTTCATTTCCAAACCATGAACAACAGGTCCTTGACAAATTAGGCCATTTATCCTAACATTATCAGTATTCAGTATCAGTTTAAGTCTGTTATCAAACAAGATTAAACATATATTATTTATGCATTTTATTTTTATAAATAGAAAAAGAGTGTCAGCAATTTATTATCAGAATAAGATTCACTGAACTTTAATTTAAAACAAGCCAACAATGACACAGATGTCCACTGACTAAAGGAGCTAATATGCAAAATAAAAACATGAATTAGAATTCAATATTGATCCATTTCAATCAATATTGATGTCATTATCTTACCGTGAAAATATAGGATCCTAATATCCAATATTGATGTTATTACAGTATCTTACCATGAAAATATGGGATCTTTATATCCAATACTTAAGACATAATGAACAATTTATAATCAGTGTATTCTATGGTTTCGTGTGTAACGGAGATAGAAAAACATATCATAATTCATACATGACAGAATTAATTCATAATATAATGACCGATTCACAACTGAGTACTGACAAAATAATATAAACTAGTAATAGTATACAAGATACGCCCACATTGGGTAGGAGACATAATCGGGTTGAATCACCTATCTTCAAGTGATATGCCAGTTTCAACTGTCGTAAAGTCAGGCCTTCAAATCTAAAAAATCATGGAGAGCTGAAATGCAGGACTTAAATACCTAGAAATGGTACCACTCTGATGTCTTCCATCTCACTCCAGCCACACTAGTAGACCATTTTAAGGAGTTCCTTTGAGCAAGTTTTTTTTAGTAAAATGACTACAAAAATGTTACTGGTATAGCTCCCTTAATTTCCACATAAACTGACACCAAACTGCACTGCACATAGCATAACATAATAAACCAATTCCCATTTAAACAAGGGTGAAGCCTTTTTTAGTACAATCAGGGGCCATAATCCAGAAAGTTACAGTCCAGGATGTGAGAATTTCGAAAGGACTGGAGATCTTTAGGTTATAAACATACATTTGTAAAATAAACCATGAACTTACTACTGTCCAATACATGTCAATATCGAAAGGAACAGAGATCAGATAAAAATTCATACATGTAACTGTCCAATTCCTTTGTTACCATCTTTTATATTCTAGTAAAATCACTGGAAAGTTTCTAGCTGTTTACCTTTTGAAATATTTTGTTTTAATTATATTTTTGATCAGAGAGTCAGATGGGACAATCTTCTTTTGAACACAAATGTTGCACAAAAACGACGACATTCGGCTTATGGGCCTTAAATTTTACCTATGAATATCTTTAATATGATATATATCATGATTGATATATATAGATTTAATGTATGAGCTTCCCAAACAATAGGCAATTGTAGTGATTTTATGTATCTATTCACACAGACTTGTATTTAAAAGCCAATTTAAAAATATGCTTGGTCTAGAACCGTAATTGACGTCAACTTATGACAAGAAATATAAGCATGCTCTTATTTAATTTCGTTGTGGATCATACCTGTTTATGAACATGTAAATTGTCAGATGATTACAAGAGAGAGAGAGAGAGAGAGAGAGAAATGGGGTTTTATATGTCCACTCAACACAAACTAGGTCATTTCGGGACTAACACATGGTTCAATTTTATTTCAATAATTCGCTCGCACGTATGGGTCTTTTAACAGTTGGAGGAAGCCGGAGGATCCGGAGAAAAACCCACGAGTTTGGACAGGCAACCCTACTCCTTGTCATGTACAACCGGGGAATCAAAACCATGCCAGTTGACTCAATGACAGACCTTATATACAGCGCGCACATGCTAACCATTCGCACTTCATCGAAAATACAAGTAAATATGTCACATTGTTCAAGAAAGAACTTTTTAATTCGCTGGAATACTTAATTTTGCAATGGATTTTATTTAACGGAAGGTGATTTCAAACACACAGGTAAGTTATAATAACCAAAGTTAAGTACCGGTAGTTTGTTCTTAATCGAAGAAATCTGTTTAAAATTTACGATGGTTCAACAGTAAATCTACCTTGTTATAATCTAATAATAAAGGCGAGTTGGAAATCATGGGAGCATTTTAAATAAGCAAGTTTTTTTTTTATTTGATTCAGATTTGTGCTATTTTGATAAGATAAAATCAATGCATACTGATAATTTTCTTTACAAAAAGCTATTAATGTAATGTTATACTGAAACGAATTTGTTGCTTTGCCTTGGCTTTGGAATGAAATTTATTTTACCAGACCGATGCCGAGTTTCGATTTAATAATATTATAAATAATAATACATTAATAGGCAAAGTCACCTATTATTAGTATTATGCCAATTTATGGCTATACAACTAGGCTAGTACAAACAAGCTTATGCATTTATTTTACTAAATTTTAGACTATTTTTTACATTAAAAACTCACAATTCGTTTAATTTGCCTGAATAACTTGAGCAACTTCTTGGTTTAGTTTATACTATGATATTATGATCCGAAAATTCGATGATTTGACATTTGCAATTCCTTCAAATTAACAATCCTAAATAAGAAGTTCAAGGACAAGTCGCGGTGCCGTGTCCTTCACTCGACTTACTGAGTTCGGCAAGGACGAGCAATAGAAATTGTTTCTCAGATCAGCTTAACGTACCTTTTTCAAGAGTACGGTTTAAGAGACCAATAAAACGCAATAACTATTGCTGACAATATCAGCAGGTGTAAAATACTTACGTTAATTTGGTGTAGTTGGCTGAGAAGATTTCCTGATCTGTTGAGTAGGCGAAATACCGGACGTGTAAGACAAGAGCCTGCGCGCAGAAGCCGGTTTTTACTTATGTTGTTACGTCAGATGGCCTTGAACTTTGACACGAAAATTAACCAATCAAACGACTTCATAATTTAAGACCGATTCTGCCCCCCCCCCCCTCCTGCTCCTACCGCAAAAATACCCGTGCGTTTTTTTTGTTTTTTGTTTTAAATGTATCTAGGTATCAATTTAAAAAAATATTCAGCAAAAGTTATTAATAACTAGAATGTTATTGACCGTACATAGGGTCTTATTCGTGCATATTCCATTTCATCTTAGTTTTTGATCACTCATTTCCAAAGTTTTGATGATCCTTTTTTATACGCCCACATTTTCATGTAGACGTATATTGTCGTCGCCCCTTTCCGTCCGTCCGCCCGTCCGTCCGTCCACAATTGTTTGTGAACACTCTACAGGTCACAGTTTTTATCCGCGGTTTCAATGAAACTTGAAATATAGGTTTATCACCCTAAGGGTCGGTTCCTTTCGATATTGGCATATATCGGACTGTATTACTTCATGGATTATGGCCCCTGGTTGTACGAAAAATCACGTTTTTAGTTTGTGAACACTGTAGAGGTCACATTTTTTTATTTTTATCCGATTTAGTTTAAACTTGAAATGTATATATAACCCACAGATCTCGGTTGTGGACTCCATAGAGGTCACAATTTTTATCCGATTTACAAAACCGTTTGAATATATCACCGTTACACCCTAAGGATGGTTGAGTTCGAATAAATCGGACCGAAACTGACGGACAAAATGGCTGCCCCTCGTTCGCAAATAGTGTCAAAATATTGTGTATCAGGGTTGTGGATCCTCTGGAGGTCACAATGTTCTGATTTTGATGAAATTTGAAATGCATGTTTATAACCCAAATATCTTGGTTCCTTTCTATTTTCGTGCATATCGAATCGTAACTTCCTGAATTATAGCCCCTGATTGTACGAAAAATCGCGTTTTTAGCTTTTCGTCCCCCTGGAGGTCACAATTATTATCCGATTTAAAAAAAAAAAAAACGTCCGAATATATCACCGTTACACCGTAATTTTGTCTGAGGTTGAGTTTCGTGAAAATCGGACCAAAATTGCCAGACAAAATGGCTGCCCCTCGTACCCAAATAGTGTAAACATCTGGTATATCAAAGTTGTGGACCCTCTAGAGGCCACAATTTTGATCCGATTTTGATGAAACTTGAAATGCAAGTTTATAACCCAAAGATCTTGGTTGCTTTCAATATTTGCGCATATCGAATCGTAACTTCCTGAATTATGTTCTCTGGTTGTACGAAAAATCGCGTTTTTAGCTTGTGGTCCCTCTAGAGGTCACAATTATTATTCGATTTAAAAAAAAACGTTCGAATATATCACCGTTACACCATAATGTTTGTTGACTTCGAATTTCGTGAAAATCGGGCCAAAACTGCTGGACAAAATGGCCGCCCCTCGTACGCAAATAGTGTAAACATCTGGTAAATCAAGGTTGTGGACCCTCTAGAGGTCACAATTTTGATCCGATTTTGATGAAAGTTGAAATACAAGTTTATAACCCAATGATCTTGGTTCCTTTCAATATTCGCGCGTATCAGATTGTATCTTCCTGAATTATAGCCCTTGAATGTACAAATAATCGCGTTTTTAGCCTGTGGTCCCTCTAGAGGTCACAATTTTTAGTAAATTTAAAAAAAACATTCGAATATATCACCGTTACACCGTAACATCCTGGATTATGACTCCTGATTGTTCGAAAAATCACATTTTTAGCACGCGGATTCTCTAGAGGTCACAATTTTTTTTTCCGATTTTAAAAAACCGTTTAAATATATCACCATTCTACCATCATTTCGGGAAAATCGAAATGAAACTGTCCGACAAAATGGCCGCACTTTGTACGCAAATTGAGTTAAAGTATACTACGAAGGTTGTGGACCCTCTAGAGGTCACAATTTTTATCCGATTTTGATCAAACTTAAAATATATCTTAATATCCCAAAGATCTCAGCCCCTTTTGATATTTGGGCATTTCAGACCATAACTTTCTGCATTATTGCCCCTGTACAAGAAATCCTGTTTGTTTTTAGCTTGTTCTCAATCCATTTCTTGCAAAATGTGGGCAGCCGCTGGTTATGCTTTAAAGTGGGTGGGGTATGTCAGTATCGCTGCAAACAATTATTCAGCAAATATGAGTTGGCCAATAACTGGAATCCTTTTAAATATATGTTTATTCTGAGTTCAGCCATAGAACAGGTGTGTTTTTATGTGTCTCTCGCTGCAATTTTTATGCCACTGATGATTTCGCAACAAATAGCACATTGCTAATTTAAATCAATTTAAACAATATTCAGCAAAAATTAGTAATCATTTAAATTATATTACTGGTTAGTCTTCGTCATGCCTCCGGCCCATTGGGTGAGTAAATCTATGCCGAATAATTATTCAGATATACGAATTCTAAAACTAGATTTAAAAATCCCCTCCTACACCTCCACACATGTCTACAAAAATGGGATTTAACGTTGCTACACCGACTGCTGTAATGAAGATGAGCATAGGCCATACAGTTTTTTTTCCATCCGAACGACTTGCAAGCTGGCAAGGGACAACTTTCGTTCGGATGGGACAGACAATCAAGGTCCCGTGTACACATTGGCGTGCACACATATATATAGTAAAAGATATATTGATAGTTAGAATTCTAAATAAAAGTAGACCGAGTACCACTGTCTGGGCAAAAATTGCCTGTATGGCGTATGCCCGTCGTCCTTAGCGCAGGGGAAGCAGAACAGTGGACGTTTAATCTCGATTCATTTCATTTCGTCTTTGCCAGGCCCTCCGTCCTGCTTCGTTGACAAGGGGGTACCGCATCGGAAAAATCCCGAGGAACTTCCTCAGCCAATACCGGAAGCGAACCCGGCCGAGTCCTCCTGGTCAGGGAGCTAGCGTCTAATACTCACAGAGCCAGCGTGCCCCCCCCCCCACCCACCCAAATAGCAACAGGGAGTTTCTTTAATTGGTAATATATTATTCAAGAAAATACAACCCTTATAGAAATTATAAGAGGGGGCTTGAAGTCGGTATATAAATGAGGTAACCATACGTAATTAAACATAGATTTATACTATATATTATCAGATCAATATATTGCTTTTACGTTTCGGTATCTGTCTATACAGGACACAGACTAGGCCCGGGGCCATTATTTTAGTTTCTAGGGAAATAAAGCAAACAATAGGTGTAGATTCTGATCTAATGTCAGTTCGAGAGTAGTGGTGTGTATCGAGAGGAAAGGCACAGATGTTTGCTGTATCCGAGAAATCTAATTTTGAATCGCTTTGGCACATTGTATGGTGTAAATGAAATGAAATGGGATTTAACGTCCTAATTCTCTCCACCAACTGCAGGAAAACAAAAACGATTGTGCTATGATGGGGGGAATTTTGACACAACGGTTCTATGTGCACTCGAACGTGGCCTTCCCATCCGACCGACTAGGCACTTATATTATCCTACTCATTAAGCCACCGTGGCTATTCGGGGTAAATGTTCCCCGACTAATAATCTCAAGTGGAATTCGGCATACACCGTTTTGTTCCTGTTACTGTAGCCTATACGGGGCCTGTAGATTGCTGGCAACAATCTTAGGATGAAATTCGACTTGATCCCGGTATATTATGCATTGAATGATGATTAATAAACGTATGACTGGAAACTGCACTGCCTAAACACTAGTAAATTAAAACACAAACTCGTGATTTATGAGCTGTTATATATATATGAATTCACTGTGAGTTATGGGTGATAACGCCCGTGTCGTCTGAAGTCATCGAGCCGTGTATATTGAACTTTTAATTCACCCGCTTTAAATATTGTTAATTTTAATAGTTGTGGTGTGTGTGCTTACTATCCGAAATTAGTTACCTGCACGGGCGAATGTCTTTAGATAGTTTTGATTTTGAGTCAAGAATTTGCCAGAAAAAATTCAACCGTATAGTTAGTTTTACATAGCGAACAAACAAATTATCTTTTATTATATAGATTTAATTCAGATGGGTTTGGGTTTTTAATCGTCTGAAGATAGGACGATTATTCAATAAGTACACGTTCCAAAAAATGGGCATATGCAGGTTTTGTTAAGTCATCTTTTAAAGATTTCATAGCAAAGACTACTGTTTTTTAATGGTTTATGCTAATCTTTCAGACAACTTGAAATAGTCAAAAGTGTTCTAGCAAGGTGAAACTGTGAGCACGCGTGTATGAGATGTCTAATGCAGAGAGCCAGTTGGCATGCGTGTAATAGTTTCTACAGATAATCCTTGGCACCATCTTCTAGAAAAATTTGCTAACGGTAGACATTTCATAATATGTGTGTGGAGGAATATATATATATATATAGCAAACAATACCGATGTATTTAGCAATACCACACTTCAACACCAACAGAAAAAAAACCCTGCAATGAAATGAGGTTTATCGTCCTACTTTTTTGCTATTTCTGGGCTAATGAAGAGCGGGCATAATTAAGCTATGCAGTTTGCTATAAGAGACATTTTGCCCGGACAACAGTGTCTCTAGAGTCTTTTCTCCAATTGCCAAGGGTTTTTTACGTGCGATCGAGGTGTACATGAGACCTCCGTTTTTCGTCTCATCCGAACAACTATACGATGTTCCTTGCTAGGCATTACTGACTCGGGAAATCCTAATTATAATAGTGTATTTCAGAATTAAAAAAAAATGAGAAGATAATTTGGAATTAAAGTCAACGTTTAAAATTAATTTCATTGCAATAATGACAACTGGGCTTTTCATTGTATCAAGACTTAATAATCAGGCCTGTTTGTCAGAGGGGAATTGTGGCCAAATTCGGTGTTTCTTCTCAGATCCAGGTAATACATTTGAAATTCAGAAAATGACAGTTATGCATTTTAACGCGAATTTTCACATTTATGCAATTCATGACTGCACAAAATGTTCGGTGATGAAGCCAAAATAAATACAAGTTCAATTAATACAAATTCAAATGAAATAGTCAATACACTATGCACCGAGAAAATATATGCAAATTTGAATAATTCTATAGATTCACCTAATTATTTTTAACCAAATCACTTATCCATACACAAATTCGTTAACTATTAACTTTTGCTGACTTTAAAGTGAGGGAAAAAACTTCCGGGGCTTATTTATTGTGGGAATATGGTAAAAAGCTTTTGGGTTGTTTAAATGTATGGGTTTTTTTGGCGGGGGGGGGGGGCGTAAAAATACGTTTCACTGTTCTCTGAGATTTTTTTCTCCACGGCCTTGTCCTTATGACCCTGTCGTAAAATTAGACTAAGCATTCGAAGTAGGGTCCTTTAAAAACGATTGTGGAATGCTGCAGAAAAAAGGTACTAAAGAAAAGTTATAAACCTTTATTATATAGTCTACTCAGGGGGTAGATTAATTACTATGCTAGCTTAAATTGTTTAAAGCGAAATCTGGTAACGCAGAGCCCAAGCGTTTGCTTTGATTTTATCGAGGAACTGTAATATACCATATAAATAGATACCGAGTATTACATTATATTATTATAAAGTGAAGCAACAAAATAAAAAATAAAACGGCATGAAAATTTGTAAATTTGTTATGATAATCAAAATAATATATGTTTTTGACGAACGATACTTGGCAGATGCTAGTATGAAGGAAACAAGTCCCTGTCGATCTATAGGAGGCAGACTACCATAAGATTACACCATCTCAGTACCAAATTGTAATTCGTCTATTTATAGCAATTTTTATCTCTCTCTGATATGCACGAATATTTTCAAGTTTTTAGTATGCTACTTCAAGTTTGTGTATCTCAAAATTTTGGCGGTCAACCTCATGCACATTTTGATTTAAAGACATGGCAAATTGTTTCTCTATCTGTTGTGGAAAGCATTCAGCATAACGAAAATTTTGGGAAAAGTTAGAGCCGGGCAAAGAAGACAGAATTAACATTCCAATTAATGGTGGTCTGCATCCTAATAAATCAGTCACAGTTGTCGCCCTTTGTTGCAGGTGGCGTTGAACACAATGATGGCGACTGCCATGACCAGTTTTAGTACAAAGACGTATGGTGAAAAACCACGAGCATTTAGGCTAGAAGAAAATGGGGAACTTTATTACATCGGTTCTGAGGTAAAATAATGTTTAAAGATGGCATAGCAATAGAAAAAACCTTATGAATAGACCAATAACGTAGAGCAAACCCTTTGTTTCTCGACGGACTGATCGTATTCTCTGTTCTCACTGTGATTTTGATTGACAATACACTTGTGATTCACACTATAAATACAATGGATTGGATGGAGCTGAGGGATACTCGATTGTACCTCCGGAATTTTACATGATTTTGACATAATTACAGTCAAGTGTAATCAAGTTTTCTCTTCTCAGTGACTGAGATAGAATCGAGATCAGATAGCATTTATGACTTACCTGTGGGCCAGTCTGCAGAGTATGCAGTCTGTCCGATGCACGCACGAGTAATTTTTTTCAGAGATCAGTGCACGCAAATTTTCTTTAGATTTGCACGCCAGTTGGGCACAACATTTTTACCTTGCACACGGCAAATTTACTTTAATCAGTACTAATTGTCATTTTTCCCCTGTACACAGTAATCCGTTGTCGATCCACATTCGACAATAACGATAATACCCGACATGCAAGGGAGACAACTACCATAACGGTAAGTAGTGAAGTGACTCGGCGTGCGGGGCAAATTGACCCAATCGAATTGCCATGTATGGTTAATGTACGCGTGCAGACGTGCAGTGGTTGAAATCGGACATACTCTGAAGACTGGCCTGCGGGTACAGGGTGTAGAGTGTAGAGGTTTCAGGTCAATGTTTTAAATGACAGAATTTTTTTTGGGGAGGGGGGAAAATAAATAAACATAAAGTATTACTTGCTAAAAAACTTTATTTCATCAAAATATACTAAGTAGATCCAAAGTTATGGAATTTTAAAATCTGAGATCAATGTCAATAATGTAATCAAAATGCTCTATAAGTTACCTCACAATCAATGTGTGCCATAGCACAAAAATAGGTGCTTTTTGGTCATATCTGAGTGACGTCATAAACGGTATTTCCCCTTCAGAATCGCTCGTACCAATTTTAAAACTTAAATCCACATGTTACAGCCAGCTGAAATTTATGAAAATCTTAACATCTTGAATGAAAATGTATTTATTATAATCTTAATGATACCATATTAATCCTGTTTAGTGTTTTCTACCACTGTAACCTACCTTTGACTGTGGCATCACACTATAATAATCACAAAAATGTTATCTATCGTTTGGTTGGCTCTATGTAAGTATCCTTTGAAAACTAAGGTGTGCATTCACCAATCAAGTGAGCTGTAGTGATGGAAAATCCCAAACCGCGTGACGCTAGAGCGGTATTTCCCACAAGCGTTTCCCGTACATAAAGGGTAATTTCGTTTACATTTCGATAATTCTTGGTAATTCTCCAGATGTGTCGTTGCCTTGCCTTAATTCAATTTGATTAAGTGATCTCCATCTGTATGGCTACCTAGTTAATCCTATTAATGAATTCTTGGAATATAATGGTATGGAGAGGTTGAAGTTGTTATGGTAAAGGAAATGTTTCCTGTCTTTGGTTAATTTAGATTATATATGTACTTTTTACAGGTGGGGACATATTTACGTATGTTCCGGGGCTCCCTTTATAAAAGATATCCATCTATGTGGCGACGACTAGTTACTCTAGAAGAAAGGAAGAAAATATCAGCTATGGGTAAATAATTATCGATACTATTATATAATTGTTGGGGAACAGTTCAGTATTTACAAAGATATGTTGAATTTAAAATTGATCAACATTTTTTGACATCCTCTACAGGAGATATAAATGGGATATGGCAAATACAAACCAACTTTCCCCATGATCTTTGCTAAAACCTTTTGATGATCCTCTTTTTAAATCTATTGAAACCATGCCGGGTGATTATCTACCCTTGATATTTTGATTACATGTATATTTTCTTCACCCGTTAAATGCGTGGGGCGTTATGTAACGACCTGGACAACTGCCACTCACTGTAGGACGTTATATTACATCTGGTCGAGGAAATCTAATTGAAGGGAGACAACTCTCTTTACCATTAGTTTTAATATGGTTTCAGACTACTGTCATTTGTATTCGAGAATAAAAAGGTCCAAAAATGACGTTTTTCGTCAAATTAATTACACAATAGGGGGTAGTTAACGTTTTAAAAACTACACACTTAACAGGTTAATTAAATGTTTTAAGATCATTTTTTGATTAAATTTTAGCTTGGATTACCCTGTGAAAATTTGATATTATTTGAAATATGTAAATGATGATCAGCAGGCTTTTAAAAGAAATTTTTTTTTTATCACAGCAATGTTTTTTCAACCATTCTGATTGTTTATTTTAGGATTTGGCCAGCACTCGCTAGCTACCAATATAACTCTGTTAAAAGTCTGTGAAGTGGATGAAATCTTTAAGGGCAGTGATGAAAAATATAAGGCTGTTTCTATCAACAGTGATTCCTCCATGTCCTTCAGGTCCGTTATTACAAATTCTATAAATACAAATATATATGTACCCATGTTGACCATTGAAATTTGACCATACTATTACAATTTTTTAATAAACTTGGAATCACTCAACTCATTTAAGAACAACATCAAGTTTAACCCTAGCTGTCTTAACCTCTTAGTCATTCTAAATTAAACTGTATTACAGACAAACCTACATGTAGTTATATCTAAAGTCTTCACTCATGTGTAAAAAGATATAAGTGGACAAACTCAAGCTAGAGCTTTATGCTATATAGAACACTGAAGAATTAAGTAATCAATTCAAAAATAGGCCCTAGGCCTTAAACCTAATACGCTGTAGTTAGATGACCATTATCTGTTTTCATATCATGCCTCCTTCATAGAACAGTTTGGATTGTCTACCTTTATGCCCCAGCCCCCATCTTCTCAGAAGCAAACAAAGTCGAGTAATCCAGTAGGGATAACAGATATACAGCTTCCGTTTGAATTTATTGTGGGATACTACTAGTGGTCACCTTCTGATTTTATTACTCGATAATTTTATTAATAGGTGCGGGAGGAAAATACCACATATAAAAATTATCTAGAAGCCTACAGGACAAACACAAGAATTAATTGAATGCTATAATTCTGTTTATCAATTGAGTCACTATTTCTGAAAATGATGAATGAATCTTCCATATTAAATATATTTGCTTGTACAAGCTGGGAATCAAAACCACACCACTTAACTCAAGATACCCCCATGAAATATTAGATACATCTACATTGTTTCCATTCTTATCTTTTTGTTCTAGCAGAGATTCAAAGCAAAAGAAAGCAGCCTGGGTACCAACAATACCAACCAGCTCTCATCATTTAGATGCTGTTCCCTGTTCTACACCTATTAATAGAAATAGACTGGGCAAATCTAAAATAAGAACATTTCCATTGTGGTAAGTAAATAATTATCAATCTTAATTTATCTAATAATAGTAATAAATAACATCATAGATTAAGAGAGGCATTAGCCCCTTAAATGGCATTAGCTCTTAAAGTGACTGATTTTGATCAAGTATTTTTTTTTTTAACAATATCTAATTTTCAACAGCTTTATCAATGATAAGACATCCTCAAATTGATGGTAGTGCCTTTGATTAAAAAAACAAAAGTAGATAATCCCTTAACTTGGATTCTATGTTGTTAAAGTGAGGCCTATCAAAAGATTTTTCAGAAGAGGGTGCCAAATGTTGAGTCATGTTTAATATGTTTGATCTTTTGTATATACTGGACAGAACTGATCAATTTTATGATTGGCATTGCTTTTTGGATGATAAATTTGCATAATTCAAAATCCTCAAATGGCTATAAGCCGCTTTAGGTTTTCCATTTGACTTTTTATGTCAAAGTGCAATTAATTTTGTCATGGTTTAGATTGTGGGCAAATCTGTCAATCCTTTACTGAGAAACATGTACACATGTTTGAATTTTTGTAATCATTTTCATTAAATGCTAGTACAAAATATGTTGCTTGTAATATGTTGGTGGTAGTAGTTTTGAGTGTGATTTTGTATGAAATTTAGTACAGTATATATTTTGCATGGTTTTCAGTTTTGATGATACTGACCCAACATTGAATTTAGAAAATGCCAGCATTCAAGAACAACTAGTGCCAATCAGACTAGATATGGAATTTGATGGACAGAAATTAAGAGATTGTTTTACTTGGAATAAAAATGGTATGATTGCAATATCTTGCATCAAAGATTTATATTTTTATAACCAGCGCTGTATAGTAACTCACTGATTATGTTACGTAACCTTTTTTGCATTTTGTTTATAAAAAGTGACCGTTTTGATTGTGAATGAGAATATATAGTAAATCTTGTTCAGATAGTCAAATAGTTTTACTTTATCAATAAGTGTTGATATGAAAAGATAAACATTAAGGGATTTTAGTTATCAACCCCATATCTTTCTGAACTCTTTAGCCCCCGGGTTGCCCGTAATTAATGCCATCTTTAACATCTCAAATTATCTGAATAGCTGTTAGGACTGCATACTAAATTTGCGATTCACGTGTTTTGAGCTGTTTCGAAAATGAGCTACAGAGTTTGATGTATGTTTTTTTTAAGGAGCTTGGGTGGTCACAATTTACATGTATAGAGTGCTAAAGTGTTAATCAAAATAACAAAACAAATATGGAAACCATAGGGAGACAAAACAAAAAGTTGAAGCGAAATATTTTATTTATCACCCAATATCTTTTTTAAAACAAAAACAAAACAAATATGGAAACCATATGGTGACAACTCAAAAATAAGCTGAAACAAAATATCATCTGTGGATACGTCATATTGGGGTTACTGAAGTTATAAAAAAAACCCACCCTTTACAGAATTGTTGTTAGTATTTTCAGAGTTGGCCAGCGGAAGAGGTCAAGTGGCCTTTGTTGATATTTTACTTTTTTTTTCCAGAAACTTTAATAACACCAGAACAGTTTGCAGAAATATTATGTGATGATTTAGACTTGAATCCGTTAAATTTTGTATCTGCAATTGCTCAAGCTATTCGACAACAAATAGAGGCATATCCTGCTAACGAAGTAATCGAAGAACCATCAGCAGACCAAAGAGTTATATTAAAGGTTTGTGTATTAATTTGATGATAACTCATATATATATCTTCTCATAGATGTGGCTAGGAGTCCAACTTCCTCACAGTCCTTTATAGTTTGAATAATAATTCAAATTTTTATGCTGAAATAAAAAAAAAAGGAAAGACATAGTCATTGTGTTTTGAAGGGATTGCATTTAATGCATAGACAGCTATGCCCAAAAAAGAAAAGGGGGAGAGAAGGACTTATGTGGTCTAATTGCATGTCATTGAGTCAAGTAGCATGGTTTTGATCTCAGATTTACAATGTGACACTGAGTATGGTCGACTACCTAGCCGTGTGGGTTTTCTCTGTGTTTCCTCCCACAAGCAAATTAATGAAATAAAAATACGCCATGTATTAGCCTCAAAATTACCGACTTCATTAAGCGGAAGTTAAACATCATTTCATATCATTTCACCTCCCTCCTGCAAAGACCAAGTCTCAACTACACAATGAGATGTCTGTCCTGCGAGCTGGATTCCGCTGATCGCACATCATTCTTCCCTCTGGATGCAAAAGTTTTGAGGATTTATACATGGAAGTTTTCCTAGTAATATTCTTGGTAAAATGTAGGGTCCCCGTTTACATATATAATCCTTCATGCATGTACTTATATTGACCAGTAAATATTTATAAAATTGTTTTATTTACAGTTAAATATACATGTTGGTAATATATCATTAGTGGACCAGTTTGAATGGGATATGTCTGACAAAGAAAATAATCCAGAAGAATTTGCTACAAAATTATGTGCTGAATTAGGTATAACACTTCTTAAAATCTCTCTTGTTTGTGTCAAGTTTTTTGGGGTTTTTTTTATAAATCTGGTGTGATTGCTCCTTTAGTATAACAGAGCCATGGTGATGGAGATGCTGGCTCACTAACCAGGACATCTGGGGTACAACCCATATTGAACATGAAGTTTGCCAGGATTTACCAGTATGATTTCCCCTTGAATTTCAGTAGTACACGACAGAGTATCTAGAAACAGTATCTAGTTGTTTGGAGTGGATAAAAAAAAATTGAGGTCTTGTGTGCATGTTGGAATGACCATAAAAGAATCGGTGACAGTGAGACTTCAAAATAAGAGTTGTTTGTAGTGTTATCTGGGGAAGATTTTCCTCACATTGACTTACAGAGCATGCTGCAAGACATAAGTCCATCTTAATTAGCCAAGTTGTTGCTGAACAGTAGATGCTAAAACTCATGTTAGTTTAAAAACGCTAATCATAGCCCAATTTTAAAGTGTAAGATCACAAAAACATGTCCGTTTTCTTAACATTTTAACAGTTCTGGATGGAATATCTTGTAGGTTTGTTTTTGATTGAAACTGACTCTGCTGTTCTATTATTGTTGTAGGTTTAGGTGGTGAATTTGTAACATGTATAGCCTATAGTATCAGAGGACAGCTTAGTTGGCATGGTAGAACATATGCATTTAGGTAAGTTTTAGGATTTATTCAATACTATTAAAGAAGAATGTTTACACTCCTAGCACTCGTCCAAAGAGAGTAATACCTCTAGACTGTGGAGCTGACAGGCTATATGTGTCTAGTCATTTGGATAGGATAAAAGTCAGAAGAGATGTGTACAGACAGCCTTGTTCTCCTTTTTTACCAATATGTTTTGGTTTTTGAGGCATGTTATTGAGATAAATGTGGAGCTTTGTTATGAAGATTAGTAAATAAACACTTCAAAGGAGCCATCTATACCTTGTTGGGTAAAACTGATATGATCCATAATTAGCTCATCACTAGTGGTACATGTAAAAGAGTAAACAGGAATGTTACTGTTCCAGAAAAAATTCTGACATTTCACGCATAGCAAAAGAAAATAAGCATTACCACATCATTGACAAATTGACAAAAATTTTAAAGTACAGTGGATTTGTCACAACTGTCTTACAAGAGATTGTAAAATTATCAAAGTAATCAACAAAGACCTACGCGAGCGAGTTTTAATCTCACCTATAATTAATTGGTGATTGCTTGTTAATCTTTGGTGGCTTCAAACCCACCGATTGAAGGCCAGATTATACAGTGTTGATTCAATGGAAATCGTGTGACGGGACGGTTGATTGATGTCGTAATTCGGAATATTCAGAGTACGGATTACTCAAAGATTTTTTGCCTGAAATAATAAGGAAATAAATCGGGACATGAAAATGATGTCGGATTTCACAGAGTGCCGGAGTATTCAGAGGTCGGATGGTAAATGTGATTCTCTTCATGTAGATAAGTCTATTTAAAATCTGTTGACCCCCCCATAAAACAGTCAGTCAATAATTAAAGTAGAATTCATAATATTTTTCAGGTTTTTTGTATACTTATAAATAATATATATATTTTATTATAGTGAGGCTCCTCTACCCACAGTAGAAGTAGCTATTAGAAATCAACACGAAGCTGATTCATGGTGTCCATTCCTGGAAACATTAACGGATGCTGAAATGGAGAAGAAGATCAGAGATCAAGACAGAAACACAAGGTAGGAAAATTCTAATGCCCTTTAGGTCATAGGGTCTGAAATGAAGTCAACTGACATGGATTCAATTCCCAGTTTGTACGTGACAAGGAGTAGGGTCACCTGTCCAACTTATGAGTTATTGAAAAAAAATTGAAATGACCTAGTTTGTATTGAGTGAATGTTAAACCCCAGTAATTATGATACTGTTAATTCAATAATACAACTAAAGAACCGTGATGAGAACGAAGAAATGAAATTTGATATGTTACGGTGCCCAATGTAATATAAATTAATGTAATTGAATTAACATATCATTTTCGTTAAAGGCTCAATACCACTCTTGTTGTAACTGAATAATATGTCCCAATCTTTATTCTGGTCAACAAATTGTACTATTTTACAATATTTCAATTAATTGATGATACAAATTTCATCTTAACATACCTAATTTAAAAAATTGGAAAAATTCAACTAAATGATTTGAAAAGCCTAACGTAAACCTTTTCAAATGTGACTTGGATAAATTACACAACAGGTAGGACACTTAAACATCTAGTACTTAGAATAAGGCTATTTTTTATTTTCTGGAGCTGTCAAGCCAGCAAGAGTGTTATTGTCCCTTTAAATATGCTTATTTATGTCATAAATCTGTTGATTGGGTGAGGAAAGTGGTGGGAATTAGCTCAAAATAACTATTGTAGTCAATCCCTTCGGCAACTTTAATATATTGGATAATAAATGCCAATTTCTTTATGATGTCCTTGAGTTTACATAAGAAAGGATAGTCATGCTGTAAATATTTGTGTATAGTTCTTGGACCTTATCTAGTTGTAAAGTGTTATTTTTGACATAAGCCCCAATGCTGGAGCTGTAAAGAGCTAAATTTGAAGTAAGCCCCCTGTTTGTCTGTGATATTTCCCGTGTGGAAGTGGGGCTAACCTTTTCTACATCAATGAATTTTTTTCTGTTTTCTCTTGCAGACGTATGAGACGATTGGCAAACACAGCCCCAGCATGGTGATCATTGTTACTTGTAAAAATAGTGCAATTCAATGTGGATCATTAACTGATGCTAAAACATTAAATTATGTTTATATTGTACAAAATGGACGCATATAAACAAAACCCTCTGTAAACAACAGGACAAGATAAATGTAGGCCTACTGCCTTGAAATTTGATGTGTATGAAAAGTCACTTAGCTCAGTAGGGATCATTTGACAAAATAAAAACACAAAAATAAAAATCTGTACATCAGACTTTTAGTAAGGATTGTCTGAGAACAAGAATACTTTTTTTGTGTGGTCTTATTGTTATCAAATTTTGAAACCAGATAAGAAGAGGGGTTCATTTGTTGTATTCACTGCCAGAGATTATTTCAGATAAAATAGCTTTTTCTGTTACATATTCCCATGGCTTCCTAAGTTACATTGTCCTAATTGCTGTGACAGCTGTATAATTCAACATCGTGATGTACTAGCCACAAAAAGGGGCTGGGTGGGGGTGGGATGGATGGGGTGGTAGTGTATTTCAAGTTGGGCAAAATGTTGTTAGATGTAGCTGAATCTCAGACATGTTGAGTGGACCATTGTAATGTTGAATCGTCAAATAGCCGAAACTTTTCACATATAAATATTATTCATGTATCGTATCAATCATTTATGTAAATTAATCATATCGCACAATAAAACTGTTAAAAATTAAATATTTCGTTATTTTGAGTTGATATTGATAGCTTTATTGGACCATAAACCCCATTTCATTTTCATGAGTAGCAGTAAGATCTTTCTTACACTGTTCAATAAATATTTATAAAATACAGCATAATAATGGGATCTGAAAACAAGCTGGAGCTTATAAAAGTTCATCTCTTCCACTTCTGTTGGGTTCTGAATTCCATGTAAAAAATATTGCTCATATTATTAGCTTTTACTTGAGCTAAACATTATCTCTTCAATCACTTTTAACCCAATTGATTCTGAATTTCATGATGAGAGCCTGCTTGTTCAACTTGTTAAATTGAACCTGTGTGGTTACTAAAAACTTTGGGTTATATAGTAAACAGCAAAAAAAAAACGTCAGTACGACTTTAATCAAATCATTCTAGAAAACGACTTACTAAATGGATCAAAGCAATTTTTTGTGAACAGTATGTTGGCACATTAGTGATTAATTTATCACAATTCCAAGACAATACGAGAAGGTTTAGAGTTTGTACACAGTTTATACATCAGTATGTGGTGTGTCCACCGCGAGTATCAATAACAGCAGCGCAGCGTCTGTACATGGAGTGGACCAGACGATTCGTGAACGCCATTGGCACCTGGAACCACACTCCCAGAAAAGCCTAGGCGCAATCCATCGGCTGTGTTTGACCTCGGTACGACGTTATTAAGTCTCCTCTGAATTTCATCCCAAAAATGTTCAATCAGGTTTAAGTCTGGACTAAGGGCTGACCAGTGCATAACGTTGACACCGTTCTGCTGTAGAAAGTATAACCAAGCATTTGAACATTTTGTCTGGACGACATATTTTTCTTGTATTATGCATATTCATACATAAATAGTTCTTGTCATTTTATTATAACAGAATTATTGTAAATTGAGACCAGTAATACCTATAGTCAGACACTAATCTCCCAGCTAGTTTCAATATAATTATATGTATTCATTATTTTAATCTTTACAAACAGAAGTTTTATTTCATAGTGGTTTTAAGGATTTAATGTTTAATTAAGCTCCTTCTACACCCTTACGTATTGTCTTATAATTCACATATTTTCATTTAGTATAAGTCACCAGTGGCGACATTTTGTTTATCTTGAAAAACTATTGGAGATTAGTGTCTTAACAACCAAATCATATAAATTAGATTAAAGTTTCATACAGAGATATATATTTTTGGTTATAAAAAGAATGCACATCATATTGTTGAGCTTTTTTAGTTAATAGTCGATTTTAATGTTGTTGCTGCTTGAATAAATTCATATACTGATTATACCGGTGTTCCCGTTTTATGTAAGTAACCTATTAGGTTACATATGGTGCAGATGCCTACGATTGATTGCCATCTCACTGCCAAGCGAGTTTAAACACCACCCAATGAAGATATAACAGAATACGGTGTTGTAGATGTCCGGCCTACAGTAAAACCACCAGATGACCAAAAAGTAAACCAGTCGGACCAGGAGTGGAGATTTCTAAATCTGCAGGAATAATTATTACCTTTGCAAATTTGTAAGTACAACCATATTTATACATTGATCTGCCAAGTTAATTCACATTTTAACATAAAATAATCGGCGTTGATTATTAGTTAGCAAAATGGTTAACAGTAAATGTAATTGTACACAATTTGACTGTTCTAATTGTATGTCAACTGTTTCATTGGTATTATCCTTAGAACGAAACTTAATCTATGCCCAAATAAGGAATTTAACAATTCGGTGCCTTGTGGACTCTGGTGCCTCGATTTCCTGTTTATCGAAATCAGTTTTACAAGAGTTGAATATTGACATACAACTTGAAATGAAATGAAATGGGGTTTAACGTCCTACTGTTCTGCTCCTATACTGGGCTAATGAAGACGGGCATACGCCATACAGTGTGCTATGAGGGAAATTTTGCCCGGGCAGCGGCACTATCGCCTACTCTTATATCGAATTCCAACTGCCAAGGGATCTTTTACGTGCATTCTAATGTATACACGGGACCTCGGGTTTTCGTCTCATCCGAAGGACTAGACAGCTTTCCTTGTCAGGCCCTCCGTCCTGCATCACTGACAAGGGGGAACCACACCGGAAAATCTCGATGAACTTTCTCGGCCAATGCAGGGGTCGAACACCCGACCTCCAGGCTAGCGAGCCAGCGTCTTACCCACTTAGCCACGTGAACGCCCGACATACAACTGGATACATCAAACATAAAATGTGTATCAGGTGTCTCAGGTTCAACAATGCCTGTTTTGGGTACAATTGATTTGGATCTTGAAATAAATGGTAAAATGTTTCCTACAAAATTATGTGTTTTTGACAAGATTTTGCACGATGTCATATTAGGTATTGACTTTATGGACAAATATAAGGCAAATATTGATTTCAAAAATAAAAAGTTTACAATTAATGATGAAATAATTACTCCTATACAAGTTATTAATTTACCATTAACTGGATATGCTAGGACGATTAAGAAATTAGAAATACCTGCAAGAACGGAAATCCTCACTCCTGTATCGGTGTCTGATATACATGACCAATATTATGTGATGTCAGAACCATTAAACTCATTACAAAATGAATACAATATTATAGGTGCTAAATGTGTAAGATAAGTAAATGATCACTCAACAGTATATCGTTTACTTAATCTTGCAAAATTATCTTTAGTTGATAAAAATATTATTGTATCAGTGGAAGAAGAAAGTGTTAATATTGGTGACACTAAAAACATAGATTCCTTTGTTAATTATTTAGAACAATATTCTAAGCAAGAGAGTGATCACTTTATCAAAGAAGCTAAAAAGCTAGGGTTTACATTAAGTACCTGTAATTTAACTGACAGAAAAAATTGATCTTCTCGTTTTTTTTGGTAGTAATTCAGATATATTTGCAACAAGTGAGGCGGAACTAGGTAAAACACATCTAATGTCACATTACATAGATACGGGTGATGCTAAGCCTATTAAGTCTCGTCCTTATAAAGCTTCTCCACAAAATAAGACAGAGATTGAACGACAATGTCATGAGTATCTCTGGCGGTGTGGGCACGGGCGTTGTCATGCTGGAAAACGTTGTTTCGATGACGTGCGAAATGTGGTATGCCGTGGGGTCTGAGAGCTTGATTGATGTAGCGCACTGCTGTGATGCCGCCTCCTCTCCCTGGACCAAGAGGACGCCATATTCTGGTCCTGCCATCTGCAGTTGATAGGCAATACCGACTCTCATCTGTGAACGGAACAGTTCTATGTGATAGAACTGGTTAAACACGTTCCAAATATTATTTTATCACAGAGATCATTGCTATGATAGATGCGTAATCAATGCTTCAACGACGGAAGTGACGAACACAGAAGGAAATACGAGTTATCTCTGTGATAAAATAATATTTGAAACGTGTTTAACCAGTTCTATCACATATGTGATAATGATTGGCACCAATATTGTCCTTTAAATGGATAAGATACCATATTTTCACAGTGAGATAACAGCATCGATGTTGATTGAAATGGACCAATATTAAACATACTTTATGCAAGAGGTAAATTTGCCTATTGCAGGTCTTTCTGTAGGCCTGAAATGTTATCTAAATTATTAATTAGACATTAATTGACTTATCCAGGCCATAATCAACTCTCGATGGCATCGGATTTCTCCGATATTAAATGAATTAGAACAGTTCAGCCATATTTTGATTTAAGCTAAAATGGAGGAACGAGACTTAGCTTCGAGCAACCAGTACGGTGATTGAAAATAATTGCACACGTCTTGTCAAACCTTCAAAGGCCAATATCTTCGCTCGCAATGGAGTAATTTGAATGAAATTTGCCCAGCTCTTTATCTAAATCTTACATAATGTATTTTTAAATTCTAGTTTGTGTTTTTGATTTCCATTATTATTGGTAATATTGAGTTAGAGGTTTAAAGTCAATGTTTGAAAGGATATTTTGTGGTCTACCTCCAACGTATAATAATAGAGTTAGCTCCCTTATTTACAAGTCCGCTTTTTTATCTTGGCAAGAAACCAAAACATTTTTTTTTTTATTGACAAGTAAAATAGTGTGAGTGGGAGTTATATTATAAAACATTGTATTCATTCACATTATACTATAGTTGGGTCGTAGTCTGTAGCAGACGATTTTTTTGTTAGGGAAGTTTCAGGTTCGTAGTCTATAGCCTAGCAGACGATTTTTTGTTTGGGATGTTCAGTGGGAGCTGGTTAAAACACGCTTGATAACGAGAGCATTAAAGCAAGAGATATAGTAGATTATATCGAAGATGCAAAACGACGAGGAAAAAATGAATTTATGGTAAGTTTGTGTTTTCAGAATTTTTATTTATTCGTTTATTTTTTCTTGGTTATAATTTTTAGTTAGACATTAAAGGGGAATTATCACTCTCACAACTAAAATAACTGTAATTTATTTTCCGTTTAAATAAAATGTAAAGTTTAACCTTAAAAATAACCGCCAGATAAATCGTAAATTTATATTTAAAGTCAGGTTATCTCAAAGATAATCTAATTTAAATATTGCACAGGTGTAACTATATATAATATATAGTCAAAACATTTGTTTTCTCAACACATAGGTCTGCCAGACTGTTTCGAGAGTAACGTAATAATATGGTTATGTTTCATTCAGCAATAGGGGGGGGGGGGTGCGAATGGTTAGCACGTGCGCGCTGTATTATCAGGTCTGTCATTGAGTCAGTTCAGTTGGCGTGGTTTCGATTCACCGGCTGTACGTGACAAGGAGTAGGGTCGCCTGTCCCACCTCGTTCTCCGGGTTCTCCGGTTTCCTCCCACTGCTAAAGAACCCTGCGCGCAAACGAATTATTGAAATAAAATTAACAATATGTTAGTCCCGAAATGACCTAGTTTGTGTCGAGTGGACGTTAAACCCATCTCTCTCTCTCTCTCTCTCTCTCTCTCTCTCTCTCTTAGCAATGTGGAAACCGGAAAAAACGTTGAGCCAATGACAGGCCTTATG